ATCCAGAATGTATGGAGACCGATGGTAGATGTGACAAAGGACATGTCATGGATCTGCTTTCTGCAGCAGATGCTGGTGACCTTGCAATGCAACCTGAAGAGCCTAAGGTGGTTCCGGATCGTGTCCTGCACCAAGCCCCATATACTCAACTGTTCACACCATGAGAATGTTTCTCTCACATATTTTACTCTCCTGATATTTATCTTCTCATGGACATGGATTTTTAAATATTTATTTATTTATTTGGGGAGCAGTAAATTGGTGGCCACCAGCTCAGACCACGGGAAATCCTATCGGGCAGGTTGGAGACCAGCCAGTTGAGTGCCCTAATTAACAGGAGCATGTAATTAAAATTTCAGCAGATGTGGCTTGGGCAGGTGGTATTTCCTGAACGCATTTAGTTTCCTGTGTGTGCACACTGTATGTGATGGATACAGATAAATACTCCCTCCTCCTGCAGCTGTGGGAAACACGGGGGCATGTGCTGAGCAGTTGGTCTGTGCGGGTGCTGTGCGCTCAACCAGCACCGCTGGAACTGCCACAACTCAGCTCTTAATGGACTGAAACGAGTTCTGAAATCCTCAGCATATGTAAACATTTTTAAAACTCGGCCTGAACAAAGTTTGTGGGTAGGAAAAAAGACATATGCATGGGAGGCTGTAAATATAATAAACCCATATGATGCGTTTCTTGCGTTCTTTTGTGATTGCCTGCTACCAGCTGCTGTTGGGAACATCGTATTAGACAAGATAACACTTTGATCTGGTGTAGCTTTACAAAATATGGGAATTCACTGCGGCTCACAAAATTTGAAAACAACTACTCTGCTGAAAAATCAGCCAGTAAAAATTCCAAAACCACATTTGTTTGTAGTTCCCATCTAAAATTCAAAAAATTTCTTTATCAGCAATTTCAGTGAACTGGAAGAAAATAAAGAGTAAAACTTTACAGTTAGAATTTGGGAATAAGGCACTTTGATAGACTTCTAACTCTGAAAAAGTGTAATTCAGAATATTTTTTTTTAATAGGCCATGAAGTGTAGGTCATTTCCCCATGCTCGTTTCAGTGCAGACATCAAATCTGTAACAAAAAAACCAAACCCTACAAACAAACCACACTTGAAGTTCTTTGTATTTGAGGGGAAGTTTTGTCACTGTAGATGGTTAAGATTGAACCTATAGAATTGTTTAGATTTGTTTTGTGGGGATTTATAGCAATTTAATAGGATTATCTGAGAAGTAATTATGTCATACTGTTAAATTATTCCATTTTTAGGCTGTTAGAGTGACCTGTTGTGATTTTTCAGTGTTTCTTGAGTGGTGTTTTGCAGTGTCCCAGTAAATCATCAGCAATGAGCAGAGAGCTTATCTGCAGTACCTTGTTCTCTCCTTTAGCAAGCTGTGTCAAAAAGTGCTGTTGTAGCAAAGGACTTTCCATTAAGCCACGGCAGGTCCACGTTCCCCATGGTTACCAAATGGAAAATGAAATTTGTTTATTTTGTGTACGTGTTAATTTATCTTTTATGATTGTCGGTTAAGGAAGGGCCTTTTGAAGCTGCAGAGGCTGCAGAACACGTGACATTATTACATGTGTATCTTGGTCTTGTTTCAGGTTGTTTTCCTACCTTTAGGACTTTGAATCTTCAATAGTGGTGGTCTCCTCCTCTTCACTGGGCAGGACATTTTACTGATCAGGCTGTAAAGTACAACTGAGATTTCATTTTTACACAAGAATTCTAATCATGTGTCTTCATAAACATTTTTTTGATCTTGTCATATCAGAGTGGCAAAACTTTACGTTATTTATTTGAAGTAGGGTGTGCTTTCTGAGTTTAAAGTTCAGTTTTGTCTGTTTTTTAGTTTGGGAACTGAACATATTGGAGATGGAGCAGAATGCTCATAAAACAAATTTATATCCTGTTCTGATGTACATTAGTTCAATATCTGATCTGTATTAGAAGGAAAGGGCCAATAATTTTTGGAAATCTCTTTGAGAGCATCTTATAAAGGCATGTTAGTATTCAGACTGTTATTCTTATATTTATTAGTGTTGATTCTAACTTGAGACCAAATCAAGTCTGTGGTGGCTCCATTTCACTAAATTATGTAGATTTACAGCAACTGAGATGTGCCCATTAACTTTGTGGTTATTCCCATTGAATGAACCTGAAAAAATACCTGAATAAAGTAGCTTTTTAAATGTGAGCAGGGGAATCCAAAATTTGGCTGAAGTTATTAAAGGCAGCATTGTAAGTGGAAATTGGCAATTGCATTGCTATTGATTCCTACTGAGCGTGCAGCTGCCTGCAGAGCTGAGAAACATCCTCATCCCAAGGGCCTCCTTCCCTCCACTGCTTAAATCTTACTACTGTGAGTCTCTGAGCCCTGGAAGTTTTAGGAAGTAAGTTAATTGAGAATTTGTAGAGAGGTGCATGTGAAGTGTTGGGATTTTTCCAGTCTGAACTGCCAAACTTTGCACTTTTCCGAATTTGGCTGGGTTTGAGAAATGCTGGTTTGGCATGTTATATACGACTGATATGTGAAAAAATGATGGGTTAAATTACCTCTGACTTTAAATTCATGCAGTCAGCATCAAAGGCGAATACAAGTTAGGGATTATATTAAATCTGGGGAAAAAAAAAGTGTTCTAGTGCTGTTCATAAGATTTATTAAAGTATTCTAATATGTGCTGATTTATTGTAATATAATGTGTGCTTATAATTTGCAATTTGATTTTAACAAGCTTTAAAGACATTATGGAGTAAATAGTGAGTGTGCTCATTTCTGTAACTTAATCAGACATGTTGTCACAAAAGTTTCAAAGACATTCTTATTTAATTATGAAGAGGAAAGTAACTTTTCTTCTGTTACTAAGGGAGCAATTTGCTTATTGTATCTTCCTCTCTTAATGCCTAATTCCTTTTATTGCAGCTCAGTACTTCTTGTTGCAATGTGCCATAACCCTATGGCCTAGGATAAGTTTCCTTAGTTATTAATTCTATTAATGTCTCTATCACCTGAGGGAAATGCAGATATTCTGTTAATGATTGTGTTAATCAAACAGCTTTCTGTATTTCTGCACTGCCCAAGTTTATGTCATTACATTAACAGGCACAGGAGATGAAATTGGAAACTTGTAATATACTGCAGATTGGATTAACTCATCTGTTTGGTGTAGACTGCTTGAAGACTTATTTTAGGTAATTTAAAAAGATTAAATCTGTAAGACAGTTATTCTTCCTGACAGGATCCCTGAAGTCTTCAACTTAAGTCTACTGTTCTTGTAAAAATTTTAAACTTTGCTCCATCTGGGTTATTCAAAAACAATGAGGCCTGGGATGCAACATGTTGCTTTGAACAAATATATGTATTTTTTAAATAATAACTTATTTATATAAATATATGTATATTTTTTTAAAAAATACCTTTGGATGTTGGAATAACTATTTTGCCTATGTAGTGTGATGATGGACATTAGACATTTGAATGTAGTATACCATTTTTGAGCCCTTTCTAGGTGTAATAGGTGTCAAAACTTCCCCTTCTGCCTTTTTTTTAAGGCTTTGATGTTATCTAGGCAGTAAACGTTGATTTTTTTTTTTTAAAGGTCGGTTCAACCACAAGATGGTTTTGTTGAGGTGAAGAAGGGAGTCCTCGTGCTTGACTTCTGTCATAAGCTTTTCTCGGTGGGGTTTCTCCCTGGGGTCAGTGCAGACCCTTCTGGAAGCAGTGCTGGTACCTTTGGCCAGGAGTATCTCACTTGCAGCGTCGCAGGGGTACCACAGCACCTGGTGGGATTCTCAAACACCTATTGCTTGCTTAAAAAGGCTGTAAATTATTCACCCATTTGTTGATGTGTGCAAGACAGCCAGCGTGTTTTTTGACGTTCTACTAAGACCTCAAAGCAGCTAAATTTAATTGGCCTTTTTGTGAGGAGATGATTGAGGACAAGAGTTTCAGGCAGTGTCAGTATCTCTGTGCCTGGAAATCAATACCTCTGTGATCCTTAATCTTCTTTCTCAGTCCTGAGAGCTTCATAAACACGCACACACACACAAAACATCCTCACAAAATTCAGCAAATATTCCATAAGCTTTTTGTGCTGTGTTTGGATCATGCTTTTTATTTGAATAATAGTGCATTATTTTGCTGTCCTGCTTTGCTTACATGACTGCTTACCTACATAAGTAGGGAAAACCTTGAGCTGTCCCTTCAGCTTGCCTTTCCTCTGAAGTTATCATGAGAATAGTTTCAACATCTCAAGTCTTTTGGCACTTGCTGGGGAGGAGGGTGGTCCTTTGGTGCCCTCATGCTGTGACCCGTCTGGCAGCCAGTGTTGAACCCTGATGCAAACCCGGTGATACAAGCCCAGACCAACCTGTCTGAATTCTCAGTTGGCCTGTCAGTAGATAATTTACAGGTTTGTCTCTGTGCTTGCCAGGCTGGTCACTCAGGTAATCCTGCAGTGCAGATAGGAAATCTCAGGAGGACACCCTGACAGTGAACACAATATTTGGAACAACAGCTCCATTCTGCTTAGTAAATTTTCTTGTTGCATTAAATCCAAACATATAATTACAACTAATTTTCAGCATCATGCCTTCCCTGAAATCCCTAAAATGTGGCTTCAGATTGGGTACTTCCTATTTAAAGTTTGGTTAAATTCATGCTCTATCAGAAATCTGATCAGTTACCAGATACATGAAATTCAAAACAGTTATGTGATGATTTCTGTAGGATCCTTTATTTCAATTGAATGTTTTTCCTATACATTTTTGTTTTAAATTGTATTTCCCAAAAAGCAGTTGCTTTTGTCTCGTAATTGGTAAGAAAGTATTTGCAAAGGAATGAAGGGTGTTTGGGGTTTTTTTTTGCACGTTTGATGATAGATTGTGAATAAAATTATGCCCTGATGCTTCTAAGGTACAAATGTTTCGGTGGGAAGGAAACTAAACCTGTGTTTACTTGTGTGTTGTTTTGTTTTTTGGTTTTTTTTTCCAGGGATTTGTTACAGTTCCCTAGGGAAGATGATGTAGACATTGCGATGAAAATTCTGGTTCAGTGGCGTTCCCGAGGCCTGGAAGATGTCCAGCTGGTGAATTACTCTGTTCTGCTTGACCTGCCAGGCTCTTCTTCAAACACAGTAACTCTGAAAAGCAGTGGTGAATGCTTTTATCCCAGTGGTCAACAGTGCAGCAGAGACCCCAAAACACTTCTCAGCCAAGACCTCCTGTACTCATACGCAGCTTACTCTGCCAAAGGAACTCTCGAGGTAATGTGGCCGTTTGTCTCTGTCATTTGTGGTGAAATAGAGTTAGAAAACACCAGCTTGTGCTGAACTTGGCTGGAAAATGGCACATGGGATCATAGAAGCATTGATGTAGGAAAAGACCTGTAAGATCATCAAATCCAGTCGTTAACGTAGTGAAATGCCCAGCCTATTTTAAAATAAGCATATTTGCATAAAATATGATGTGGTCAATCTAACTTAATCTTACAGTCTTAATTCAGATTTATAAATTGGTCAGACCTGAATACTTCATATGATACATATATATATATATATATATATAAATAATTTATTTTTTTTAAATATCTGTGTTTATAAATCATCTTGGGTAAAAAACACTGAGAGCTGTGTCCAGAGCTACACTTTATCTTGCTGATGTATAAGTGCTACTGGTTTGAGGGATGCTTGTAGGAAGGGCATGTTGGGTGAGGCTTTCTGCACTAAAGCTGGTGGGAATGCTGGGCTAATACCTGGAGCTCCTGAATTATGGTCGTGGTTCTCACATACTTTTTTTTATGACAACTCAGTTGACACATCTGCTCTGTTTCCTCTTGAAAACCCCAATTTGTAGTTTCATTGTGCTGTAGCTTTTGTTGGGAAGTTTTGTCAGCGAAAAGATCCTGCCTTTTGGGATTTGTTACTTGCCAAGTGAAATAAGATCTTGGATTATCTTGTTTTATCCTGTTTACTGTCTTCACTGTCTGCCTTCCTTTAGATCCTTTCCAAATACATTGGGAGTGCACAAAGGGATCATAATTTCTGTTTGCTTTCCTAGCTGAGATAGTATAAATCTCAATAAATATTTCTGAAATAGAACAATTGCAGTTTCTCTGCTAACTGCATTATTGTTGTCTGTCTCCTTTTGACAATATTCTATCTTATTCCAGTGATGCTGGGGGTTTTCCATCTTGCCTTCTTTTTTATTTTAAAATGCATGTTTTTCATGACTTAAAACACTAATAGACCATATAGGAATAGATTTTGAATTGCTTTGGGTTTGGAGGAACCTATTCCAAAATAACTTTATACTTTGTGAATATCTTAAAATTTAAAATTATCATATACTTCATTTCTAACATAAAAAAGCAGCTGTCATGTATTTTCCTCTTACCTGTGAGAATGTCTGCCCATAGGTTTTATTGAGAACATGTGAAATGCAGTGGAACTCTTGCAATAACTCAAAAAGGGGAAAGCTGCACGATGCTAACTAAGCCATTTTATAGACTATTAATCTAATTTTGAATTTTGGACTGTAGGAAATATGAGGACTGGTAGAAAGTCAGATCCTTAAGTTCCTCATCCTGAGGTCAGCAAACTTCAGCTTCTTTTTCTTAAAAGCACCGAAGCTTTTTAGACCTAGAGAGGACCAGGAATGGAGTTCTTGTTTTCTTGTTCTTCTTTGGGGGAAAAGCTTCACTCCTGTTTTTGTGTACTGACCATGCCTACTTTCCATACTGAGCCCCTGTTGTGGGGCTCTGTCCACTTCAAAGGTTGCTGTTAAGAAGAGAAATGAAGTAGGCAAGAGGAGATCCTAACCTGCATGGGAAAATAAAAGGGGCTAATGAATGGGTTTTCCTTCTCATATCACTTAAAAACTCTATATTTAATATTATTTCCTCATTGTAACTTAATAAGAGTAACTGTAATGAGATATAAGTACAGTTGTGACCTTTAAGGTTTTATTTCATAAAAATCAATGTGTTGGTAACCAATTCATCAGATTAAAGGAAATCCAATGTTCCGGGAAAAATCCCTGATTTTATTACCAGCAGCACATGCACCTCCTTCCATTATGTTGCGGGGCAGTTTTCTCTCTGAGTCCAGCAGAAATGAGGACCACACACACTGTACTAATCACAAGGGTTGGACCTTGGCTTTGGCCAAACTCCAAACTTGTTCTTGAGCCAAAGAATGACTCTCTGTGCACAGTTCTGCAGTCAGTTCTTTGAGACACCTTAACACCCTTAGAAAACTTGAGATGGTTTTTTTTATTCTTCAAAAGGTCTATCCAAAATGTCCTGAGTTCTCGAGTTTTGCCTAAAAGGGAAATTTCCCTATTTGTTTAGGGTGCAGATGAGTTGGTAGTGATCTAAGCATCCTGACTTTCAATCCTACACACTAATCTCTACTATTTATACTCATGGCAGTAGAAAAACTTTATATGAGAAGTAGCAGGTGGTGGCTGTTGCTGGGTTCAGCCATCGACTGCTTGCAGTGGAACTACAAGTCACGTATTTTGAATATCCTGCGGTGGGTTGTGATTGTGAAATCATGAGGGCTTTCCTGTGAGAAGGTATTTTTGTAACAGCTACTCATAATCTGAATAATTTTCTTTCAAATGTGACACATCCTTAGCAGAAAATTCCTATTATGTGTCACCTAATCAGGTTGAATTGCTAATACTGCTCCAGTGCTGCTGCTTCATTGTATCTCATTTTGTCTGTTTGGTTTGCTAGAAGTTCAAGCAAATAAAACCATTAAGATATTGCAGTCTGGCTACCAGCACAGCTCCAGCTCTACCTTCATGTTGACAAGGTTATTTGTAGAACAGCAAGACTCATTTTCTTTGACCACCTGTCATGTCCATTCATCATGTGGCCATTGTATATGAGCCATCCAATTTGTGCTTTCTGGTAACAGTCTAAGCAGCATTTGTGAGTAAAAATGTGAGCATTTGTGATCTGAAATCTACTTCAAAAACCTACTTAGTGCCACTGTGATGGATGGTGCACTTTACTACTTCTCTATATTTCATCGGGCTGTGAAAAGGTGACACTGTTTACCCATCATGGTGACAGGCAGGGCAGCTTACAGTTCTGGAGAGGGCTGTCTAGTCAGTTTTGAAATAGATATTGCAGCAGTTATGTAAATAATATATCGTAGGCCAGGTCAGTCTAAGGGAAGAATGGCATACGTGAAATATATTTTTATTAAAACTTAAATATCAGCCACCTTTTATAGAGTTCAAGCCTTTTGTCTGCTTGATGAAAACAGGAAAGCTGTTCTGGCCAACAGAGTGCACATATAAATGGAAATTACATTGCATCAAATTTATGCATTAAAGCAAAATGCATTGTCAAATGGTTTCCAGCCCGTCTGAGTGTAGCGTGGTGCATCCCAATGTGCTGCTCCCTGCCTCCTCAGTGTGTGGTGATCCAAGAGCCGTGGCTGTGTGTGCTGTCACTGGTGCAGTGGTGGAGGGATGAGCTGGGGAACCATCAGTGAGAGGTGATGGGGGTGGAGGTGTGAACCCCCAGAGATCCAGTGTCTCTGTTCAGCACCCGGTTGGTGAGTGGTGTCAAGGTCAGCTCACCTGTAGCCCATCTGTTGACACAAGGGGTGGTGGTCCCAGAGTGCAGTGAAGGGTAAAGAAGGGGATGTTTTGACTGGCAGTACAGGAGCAGGCTGGCTGGTACTTGGGGCACCTGGTTTAAATCCAGCCCACAGAGTGCAGCCAACTACAGGATGAGACTTGTTCAGTTTTGGTGTTCAGTGTTTGTCTGCTCTGTCCCCTGTTTCTTTAGCAGCTGTAGAGGCAATCCTAGCAGATGTTGGTGTGTTAGGACAGTGTTCAAGGACAGATTAAAGCAATTATTAATTAAAGCAAAATGGATATTGTGTTTGCTTTGTATTCCCACATTTTATGAAAGTATCTTTGTGTAACCTGAAGTTTTTCTACACTTCCTTTCACCTTAAATTTATTCACTCTTTTTTGGTGGAATTGTTAAGGAACTTTTGACAATCGTAAGTCTGCTTCAATACTTTAAACTCAGATATTTAGTGTCCTCTGTTATATGGCATAATCTCATACTACACTACTCTGCCTCTTACTGGAGTAACTGCTGAATGAACCAAATTGGTTCCTTTGCTGCTTCCCTGTCCTTTCTTTTTGTTTATTTCCTCGTGGATGCTTTCAGCAAACCCAGCAAAACATCTCTTTTCTTTCCTGGACCTTATACACTGAAAGGACTATGTTGGTTCAGGAACCAGAAGAGGATGCAAGAAAAGTACAAGTGCTGGCATGTTCTTGAAGTGGAAATGCATATGCAGGCAGGGCTTTGATGGTTTGATGGACAGAACTGAATCGTGCCCATGTCTGATGCAGTTCTTCCAATACCCAACTATGTGTCTTTGGTACTTTGGCCCCTGCTCTGCCCCTGTTTCCCTGCTTGGACTTCTCCCCTGTGTCACCTCCCTTCCCTGCCATCATCCGTGTTCCCCGTTTCTACCAACTTCTCTGTTTGCAGTGTCTGATGTGAGGCATTTCCGCTCCCAGCTCAACCAGTGGTATCTTTGATTGGTTTTGGAGGGGCGTCAGGGAGCAGACAAGTGAGAATTCCGATTGCTTCCCTCTATCTACAACATGCAGAAGAGATTCTCTACATCTGCTGATCGCGTAGCAGCCTGCTCCGCTTCATTTGTTTTCGTGACATTTTCTCAGCTAAATGAGAACCCACCACAGAGATTAATGCAACCTGAAGCAATATGGGAAGTACAGGCCCATCTGTTAAGCTCACTCAGTGATCTTCCCACCATTCTTCAGTCTTGGCAAGTAGGAATAAGGGAAGCAGGGCTCAGATTGCTGTCAGATCCTCTTTCACAAGGAGGGGGTCTTGGTCACTTCTTACCAGATACACCATCTTCCTATGGCTGTGTTGAGATGTCTTGCTCCTCATCCATCCTCTTCTTTCTCAGGCCCATCACTCTGCAGGAAGATGGAAGTTTTCCTCTCCTCTACTGCCTGTTCATCTAACCTCTCCTGCTCCTTCCAGGCTCCCCACTCGTGTGTCCCACTGTCCCTTCCCCTCTTTGCCCAGGTTCCCAGTGCTGCAGCCCTGTTTCCTGGCAGTCCTATCAGCTCTCTGTGTTTCCAGCTCTGCACCAAAATGTCTGGAGTTCCTCTGGAGGGGACAGTGCATCGGGAAGTCCTTGACCCAACAGCTTGCCTTCATTTGCTTCGGTTTCCTCGTACTGGAAATGTG